ATACTTATACTAAATATATTTTAGCTATATTTGTGCTCCTAGAATCCGTGTTTTCATTGTTATACTGTAGGGGGCGCTAGTACACATCTTCTGTACAGAATTTCCAAAAAACACAAGTGAAGAAGAAACCGAAACAACAGATGCTTCCACATGTATTCTAACACGATCATCAGACATAAAACAGCATCAAAACTGTGTAAATTTGATGTAATGTCGACCAATGAAGAGGTAATAATAACTGTCAAACTTTGGGGTGTTGATCGACTTTATCTACGTTTTGATTATCTTTCTGAATCCAATTCATAGTCTTTTTTCAGCTTTTTGTTCAAAATGTTGTTTATTTCTTTTTTTTATTATTATTTATGAAACTTACCCACATTCAAGTGTTTAAAAAAATAATGCATGAAGCTAGAATAATTTTTTTTGTTTACAAGCAGATACCCTGTTCTTTTGATGTTTTGTATGTTCAGATATTCATGTAACAAAATTCATACAAATTCATACCTAAATAGGGACATAGTAGTATACTTAAAATATGATGTGACGTTCACTTAAAGAAAACTTACGAGTATACTTGCAGTATAAAACTACTAAACTAGTAGTTTACTGAGACTATACTTCAGTGTACTAAAAATGTATTTAATTAATAAACTATCAGTATACCTAGTTCCCTTTTAGTATAGTTGCAGTACAAACTAAAAACATAGATGCAAACTAGTTGTGTACTCAAAGTTTACTACTGTTATACTTAAAAGTATACTTTTATATACTAGAAAGTGGGCCAATTTAGTCCCAAGGAGTATTGAAATAGTACACTTACAAGTATACTACTAGTACACTGATATATGTATACTTACTACATATAGTATACTTAAAAATATAATTGAACTTTATTTAAGTATACTTAATAAAATAAAATACTTATTCAAATAAACTTGAAGTATACTTCTTTTTGGTAACCTTGCTGAATAAAAGTTTTAATAAAAAATAAATAAAATAAAATACTACTGACTCCAAACTTTTGAACTTTAGTGTGCTTACACAGATTTATATGATTTATTATTATACATTACTAGATGTCCAGTTGAATAGGAAAAGAGCAAGGAAAGAGGTTTTCCATCAGTTTACACAAACCTTGCTTAAGACATCAGGATTTGGGTCATTCTGTAAAAGCACAGCGGCAGTTCGGGTGTCATCGTTTCGGGCAGCGATATGCAGTGCAGGAAGGCGGACCTTGCCCTTAGTACCGTGGTTGATGAGCAGGGCCACCACATTCTCATGGCCCTGCTGAAGAGCCACAGCAAGAGGGGTAAAGCCATCCTGCAAGAAAGACAAACACACAAGACACACATTTTCAGATTTTTTTTTTTTTACATAAAGACCCATATTTCTCTCAATAACCTGATTGAAAATGGCAGGTTAAGGTAAGTGTGCAACCCCTGTTGGCTTAACATGCTAAACGTTTCCTTTTGGTGCAGTAAAGTATGATCCGACCCAAAAATAAGCGTGCTTAATTGTATTGAATGTGCACTTGTAGTGTACTTCATATCTTAAAGTAAATGTTTAAAAAATGTACTTGCAAATAATATAATACTAATGAAATATGTGTATTTAAAGAGAGACACTTTCATGACACACTTTCTTGACACACTTAAGTGCACATTGAAATCATGTCAAGTTTTACTTTAAAGTACATTTTAAATCATTATGTTTTAATAATCTTTTGTCATCCTTTAAAGAAGTACACTTATTTTAATGTGTTGACTAACATACTAAAGCACATGTAAAGTATTTGATTATAATTTTAAATGCAGTGTTGTATTAATATGTGATTTACAAGTTAATATGTGTTAAATGTACTAAACTGCAACTTCATCATTGCAAATGTGTAAATACAAATATATTTAAATACATGGCATGCAATACAGTAATTATGAATATGAATAATCATGACATGCAGAGATATCCTTAATTCCTACATAAGTGGGTTAAAACACTCTTAAGTTCAGATAATTGCATTTAATATAAATTTAATATAATTATAATACTTTTTTCATTTAATTGCAATTAACATGCATTTAAGTGTCCGAAAACATTACATTTGGTTAACTGTTTGGTTATACACATTATTCAAAATATCTCCTTTTGTGTTCAACAGAAGAAAGAAACTCGTAAAAGTTTGGAAGGGGGAGTAAATGATGACAGAATTTCAATTTTTGAGTGAACTATCCCTTTAAGATTATTTTTTTAAAGTATATTATTCCACTAATACACTCTAAAAAATGCTGGGTTGTTTTAACCCAACTTAGGGGTCAAATATGGACTAACCCAACTTTTGGGTTAAAAATGTAATTGAAAAATTTAACCCAACAGTTGGGTTAGTCCATATTTGACCCAAAGTTGGATTGAAACAACCCAGCATTTTTTAGAGTGTACATACTCTTTTTAAAGGCATGCTAAAGTGTACTGCTTTATTTCACAAGCGCAGCATTACCTCAGTTGGAATGGTCTGATTGGCTCCATTATCCAGGAGAAACTTCACAACCTCCAGGTGATTCTCTTGTGCAGCCATGTAGAGAGGAGTGAAGCCCTTCTGTTGCAGACAGACATAAACACCCATATGCAGATACAATACCAAACTAACAAGCACACAAATACACAGATGACAATACAGGCAGACAGATTTTAGTTCGGACAGCAATGCTGCATACATTTAAAAACACTCGACTGTTCAAATGAACTACAAAACATCCAACTGGGGAGAAGAAAACACATAAACCACTATCTTATATTGTGATTTAGGTCAACATTAGGTGAATGCTCGCAGATAGCTGAATATTATACAGTAACACAGTAACCAACCCGGTTATTAGCTCACCTGAGACTGAGCGTTGACATTGGCTCCATAGTTAACCAGCTCTGTGACCACCTGCTCTTGTCCAGCTAACGCAGCAATGTGAAGAGCAGTGTTTCCTTTCTATAAGAGAAATATCTTATTTAATGACACAGACAGGACAGAATTTTCATTTTTGAGTGAACTATCCCTTTAAGATTATTATTTTTAAGTATATTATTCCACTAATACACTCTAAAAAATGCTGGGTTGTTTTAACCCAACTTAGGGGTCAAATATGGACTAACCCAACTTTTGGGTTAAAAATGTAATTGAAAAATTTAACCCAACAGTTGGGTTAGTCCATATTTGACCCAAAGTTGGATTGAAACAACCCAGCATTTTTTAGAGTGTACATACTCTTTTTAAAGGCATGCTAAAGTGTACTGCTTTATTTCACAAGCGCAGCATTACCTCAGTTGGAATGGTCTGATTGGCTCCATTATCCAGGAGAAACTTCACAACCTCCAGGTGATTCTCTTGTGCAGCCATGTAGAGAGGAGTGAAGCCCTTCTGTTGCAGACAGACATAAACACCCATATGCAGATACAATACCAAACTAACAAGCACACAAATACACAGATGACAATACAGGCAGACAGATTTTAGTTCGGACAGCAATGCTGCATACATTTAAAAACACTCGACTGTTCAAATGAACTACAAAACATCCAACTGGGGAGAAGAAAACACATAAACCACTATCTTATATTGTGATTTAGGTCAACATTAGGTGAATGCTCGCAGATAGCTGAATATTATACAGTAACACAGTAACCAACCCGGTTATTAGCTCACCTGAGACTGAGCGTTGACATTGGCTCCATAGTTAACCAGCTCTGTGACCACCTGCTCTTGTCCAGCTAACGCAGCAATGTGAAGAGCAGTGTTTCCTTTCTATAAGAGAAATATCTTATTTAATGACACAGACAATGTTTTATTTTTTCTAATCACATGCATTGTTTTAAAAAATCAAGCGTTGTGAAAAAGTAGAGTGCCTAATTGTATTAAATGTGCACTAGTGTACTTCGAATTACAACCATATATATTTGTTTTATTAAAAATGTACTTGCAGATTATATATTATTAATGTATTACAGTTTTTAAAAATAGCTTACAGTTTCTGAAACTACTATGGGTCCTTTTCTCTAAACTCTACACACAACACGCAAAACATTATGCATATCTTGCAAAAGCAAACACTTCTTTCAAAACTATTTTAACTCTTATAAAAATTGTGTTTTTGCATTGTATCTCTACACACAAACACTGAATGATTAGCCATATACACGCCAACAGTTCAGAAAAGTGAAAAGTTAAAGGCACAATATGTACGATTTTTTTATTAAAATATCCAAAAACCACTAGAACAGTGTTATATGTTTTGCTGATTTGTGTACTTACACTATCCCAAATGTTTCAAAGAATGTTTAAATCCAGAGAAATAAGCAATTTTAACTAGTGACACGGCGCGTGTCCATAGTGTCGCCTGCCAAAGACGTCATAACCCCTCGATTTCCGGTTTTGTTTTGTAGAAAATATGGAAACACCAAAGACACTTGTCTTTAATAAGTTATGCGTTTTAATAGACCGGTGACGACCGCACAGAGTAGCATTATAACAGAACTAAATGTATCTAGTATGATAAAACAGCGCTGCTTTACCCCACATACGCACGACCGGAAGCAGCGGAAGCGCTCGACTGTGGCATAATAAAAGCTCCGCTGCTTTCCAGCTGTGTGTCGCGCTCGTTCAGCGCCTCGTTTCGCTTCAACGGCTTTCAGCCTCACCCTGCTTCATTCTACTACGTTAATAAATCATTAGCTCATCCATGAACATGATTTCTGCCCGAGTCCCATCGGATTGCATCGGCTGTGGGGATGAAGACCACAACTCCCATGATTCCACACTCAGTCACAGCGTCATCTAACTACGCCTTTGTCTCTTTGTTTATTTTGAATACGCGCCCTCTAGTGGCGAAAATTACATATTGTGCCTTTCATTCTGGTAAATGCCTGGCCACCAAGTCTTACCTTTGTGGTCGTCTCTAGAACAATACCGTGGTGCAATAGTTCCAGCACCATTTTAACATGGCCTTCTTTCGAGGCCAGGTGCAGGCCGTTGAGTCCATTCTGTGAAGGTAAAGAGACAGCAGCGCAAACTCACTCTGAAGGTGATTTGATCTCAAATCAAACAGTGCAGTCTTGTAATGTCCCAAAGAGACTGAAATGGGGATGTGGGGGTTTGTAGATCACTCCCACTCTCACGAAACACACAGAGCATTGTCAAATGACATCAACCGATGATGATGATGATGGTGATGGTGGTGATTTAGGTGGATGGCAGGCCGGTGGTCTCTCTGCTGGGAAGAATACGGGCCATGTGGGATAGGTCTAACCTCACACAGCCTTCCTTCAGCCTCACAGGACATGTGAGGTTGGACCTTTCTCACATTGCTGATATTATCCCCTCCGAGTGTAGAGACCACTCACCCCATCTCAATGTGACTCAAAGAAAGAAACGAAGGAGCAAAAGAAAAAGAATGGATGGATGAAAAAGAAATACTGAACAGATATAAAGCTGCATATGCAGAACAAAAGTTGCACAATTAAGTGGAGATGCAGAGATGTCAAACTCTGTCATTGGTAAAGGTGTAATGATCAACTTGCACACCTTATATGCCAAATATATACATAAAGACACTGCCATCACTGAAAACTGTGTTTTGCATCAGTCAGTAAATGTTAATAGACGTCTCATTTCACTCGCTAGTCCCCTGTGATGTAAATCAATATATTGGCTACAGACAGAACAGCCTCTGGTCTCTCTGTACATACAGCTGAAATAAAATAAAATATGAATAAAATAAAATAAAATAAAAAGTACACTGAAATTTCAAAAGTAAGCTGAAATAAAGCCTAACTAATAATAATGAAATAAGCAAATAACAAAATTGAAAAATGAAAATAATACTATAGAAACACTGCTGTAGAGTATATTGAATACTGCATTATATAATATTTTTTTGTGGGGAAAAAAAATAGGCCTTATACAGTAGTTCTAAGCAGAATGCTAGTATTCTGTTCCAAACAAACACAAATATCCATGCAAAAATATTTTCTTAATTAGTATACAAAAACATAAATGTATCTTTAATTTATTGGACAATATATTATGGAAGAGAATAAAGAATGTAAAAGTATAAGTGTACGGTTTGTTCATTGTTTTTCATCCACATTGACAAATAGCTTTTTTTTTTCTTGTAAATTGTGTTAGATTTTTGCTAAAAACAAGACAGCAAAACATTTTATTTATGAGCTTAAAAAAAACATATTTGAGTTATATTCACAGAAAACAAGTCTGTTTTCAAGTAAAGGGCGATTCGGATGGTAATTGTCTCTCATGGCGACGTAAGCTATTCTCAAAATTTACAGGCGTTAGTCAGTGATTTATTGTCGTCCGAATCCAGAATTTTGGTGTTTTTCTCCCACCGCCCGCATAAAAATCCTCGGATGAAGTACAGTCCGAATCCACATCTCTTGAGTTTACAAGAAGAAATTGATTCAAAATTCAGTGCCGAACACAGTAACTGTTGCACTTCGCTGTGATTTGCATGCATATTTATTACTGATTTTTTTTTTTTCAATATTTCATAACTTGCTCCACCACAGCGAGTGGGAGCTGCTAAGAACAAAAAGAAGAAAGAGAAGAAAAGCACACAAACATTTGAAACGGGTCACTTTTGTGGAAGCAACAGGTATGCAATACAATTTTAAAATATGTATTATATACAATTATATGCATACAAATATTAACCAAGCAGCTTTATGTTTACCTCATGTAAATAAGAGCTTGCATTAACTTATGTCTGCTAATCTCCACATTTTTTGTGACATCCATCATTTCGAGAGATAAAATGCAAGACAGAAAACCATTTTAACTAAAGTGCGTCTGTTTTCCTATTTTTAAACTGGAGATTTAAATAATCAAATAATTAATAGGACATTATTAAATATGAATTTATTCCTATTGTTCGAAGCATATGACATTTTATTTACAGCAGACAATCATGCGACTGGCCACGTGAGCACGATCACAGAACTCGCTTCTCCACTGTGAATAAATCAACATCTTGAATCCATGAGTTTTATCACTGATGTGCCATGTAAATGTGCTTTTACAGACGTCCACACGAGAAACAATTACCGTCCGAATAGGGCTTAAGTCTGTCTTGCTTTAAGAATGTTTAGATATTTAATTTAAGCCAAGACAATCATACTAAGAAAATATTGTTTTTGCAATTTAGCCTATGTGTCCTATAGCTCAAGGGTCTGGCAGCAGGTTTTTGAAAGAGCTCAGTGGTGCATTGTGAGTTCAGTAGACCTGCTCACACGTTTGCTTCAGTATGACGACTAAATGGAGCAAAGCGCTGAAGTCATCACACACAACGCATGCAGGCATTAATCAAAGGGCATGGACATGTCAGTGTACAAACAGGCTAAAGGGAAAAGAAGTGGACATGAATGCATCTAATGTAAACACCCAATAAAATCTGTGCGCAATTCAGACACGGAAACAGAAAATTATTTCCAATCAGGTCCACCAAGGTAAAGAAGGTAGTTTAGCACAAATATCGGGTGAAAAGACTACAAACTCGCTCCATGGACACACACACCCTTAGACGGCACAGCAAGCAATTTGAGTTGAACCGGACATGTTCATCAAAATCTGAAAACTTAGCTACTCTCCTTATCTTCATCACCCAAGTATACTGTAGAATTCTGAGCCATTGAAAGCCACTCTTAAGCTTGGCTGGGAATAGCATTCAATACCAAGGCTCATCCTGAAGTTGCTCTCTGCCCTGCTCTTTACCATCTCTGGAGCAAAATTCAAGACAGTATGTGACCCTGGAGCACAAAAGCAGTCTTAAGTCGCTGGGGTATATTTGTAGCAATAGCCAACAATACATTGTATGGATCAAATTATAAATTTTTCTTTTATGCCAAAAATCATTAGGATATTAAGTAAAGATCATGTTCCATGAAGATATTTTGTAAATTTCCTACCGTAAATATATAAAAACTTAATTTTTGATTAGTAATATACATTGCTAAGAACTTAATTTGGACAACTTTAAAGGCGATTTTCTCAATATTTAGATTTTTTAGCACCCTCATAAATCTCAATTTCGAAAAATTGACCCTTATGACTGGTTTTGTGGTCCAGGGTCACATATGGATCTCACTCCCATTATAGGTAAGGTCCTTCTGATCACCAGTTCTCCTACCCTCTTAAAAATAAAGGCTCTTGGCATTGATGCTTCCACTAAAAACCTTACTATCCATGGAAGCTTTCCATTGCACAAAAGGTTCTTCATAGTGGAAAAGGTTCTTTAGAATTTTTAAAATGTAGAATTTTCAAATTAAAATAAAAAAAAGGTTCTTTTAAGAACTGATCACTTAAAGGTTCTTCCATGGCATTGCTGCAAAAAAAAAAAAAGCCTTTTGGAAGCTTTAATCTTATGAGTTTAAGGACTATTGTCACATCACGGAAATAATGAAGTGTGTGAAATGGCCCTGTGTGCTCTAGATCATCTGAGATCACACATCTTTCACACTTTGTCTTCTAGAGCGCCCCTCGAAATCAAGCATTTATCTGTAAGAAGATTCACTTCTGCAAACAGACATTTCACCTCCAAATGAAGCCTGGCTGTGACTCAATCGGACAATGAATCATACGTTTTTTTTTTCCTCTTGAGGAATACAGGGAGTTGAGGAAGTCTTACCTGATTGGCTGTGTTGACGTCGATGCCATTCTTGATGTGGTCGAGAGCCTTTTCCAGATTACCTGAGCGAGCTGCACGGAGGAAACTGGTGCCAGCATCAGCCTGAGAAAAAATACAGGAAGTAATACAGGAGGGTAGAATTTAAACGAGTTAGACGTTTTAATGGTTTAATTATATTGTGAAAACTGCTTTTTGCCAGCCATCTGTATTTCCAGAACTTCATAGAATCTCACATGTGAGGAGTGTTAAATAAGATAACAATTGTGACAAAACATTTGTGACCATGGAGCACTAAAGCAGTCTTAAGTCGCTGGGGCATATTTGTAGCAATAGCCAACAATACACTGTATGGGTCAAAATTATTGATTTTTCTTTTATGCCAAAAATCATTAGGATATTAAGTAAAGATCATGTTCCATGAAGATATTTTGTAAATTTCCTACCGTAAATATATCAAAACGTAATTTTTGATTAGTAATATGCATTGCTAAGAACTTCATTTGAACAACTTTAAAGATGATTTTCTCAATATTTAGATTGTTTTTTTGCACCCTCAGATTCCAGATTTTCAAATAATTGTATCTCGGCCAAATATTGTCCTATCCTAACAAACCATACATCAATGGAAAGCTTATTTATTCAGCTTTTAGATGGTGTATAAATCTCAATTTCGAAAAATTGACCCTTATGACTGGTTTTGTGCTCCAGGGTCACATTTGGTTAACATTTTTTTTTTTAATATTGATGTTGAAGTAAAACAACAACAGCAACAACATGGGACAAAACCAGAAAACACTGTAAATGAAAACAAATCGAAGGACAAGATTTTCAACATTAGATACATACACAAATACATATTCACAGCACACACACCTGGGTAAAAAGATAACATGTTGTTTTCTGTATTTTTTTCCTGTGTGAGAAAGACGAATGGACACAAATGTGTACTGTATATTTTGTCGACCTTAAGTACACAAACATTCAGATTATCTCAAAGAACAGACAAACTGCAAAAGGAAAGAGTAAAAAGCATCAGAGCAGCGGTTAGAATGAGAGAAAGAACTGGAAAAAGTTCATTCATATTTTATCTACTGTTAAAACTCATTTGTTCAAATCAAATGATTCTCAATAAAACCGAAACCAAAGCAGTCAGACACAAAGACAGATCGAGAACGAATCAGATTTTTCTCTATTGCAGTGACCTTCCTAACCTTACGACATTCATCTAAATATAGAAAATTACTGAAAAGCAGTGAGTTTTTTTCTCTTCTCAGCAGTGCATCTTCAAAATCATATTAAGAATATTTGGCATCAAGACTCAAATAATAAATAAATTGAACACATTATTATACGTGGAGACAAACTTTGTTATACTTAATCACTCTTAAAGCACATATCTCATCAACAAAGCCAGTGTTTCCCACCTAGAGGCTCATGAAGGAACTGCAGGCGGTGTGTGAGGTTGTGACAGAAATTGCAGTGCTAAATTAAATAAATATGTGTAATTAATTAATTAAAGAAAAAATTAATATAAATATTTAGAAGTACACACAAAAAAAGAAGTTTGGGCACCCCGGTCCTAAGATGTTTCACTGAGTATAAACGAACCATTCCATGGTTTCTTCAGTCTGATAAACACACTAAACAGAGGCTTTCACACTTTCAGCCAAAGATCAAATGATTTCTAAAAAGCCAATTTATATAGAGTACATACACATTTGCATAATTCCAGAACAACTCCCTTAGATTTTAATCACACGTCTGGATTCAATCGCTTCTGTGGCTTAAGTGAATTTGAACAGATTTCCACAGATTTTCACATCCTTGAGACTGAGCTGTATTGTACGTGTTGTGTTGTTGCTGGCGAAGACATTTATAATGTTACTAAAGATTTCTATTTCAAATAAATGCTGTTCTTTTGAACTGTCTATTCATCAAAGAATCCTGAAGAATAAAATGCATCACGGTTTCCACAAAAAATATTCGGCAGCACAATTGTTTTCAACATTGATAATAATCAGAAATGTTTCTCGAGCAGCAAATCAGCATATTAGAATGATTTCTGAAGATCATGTGACGCTGAAGACTGGAGTAATGATGCTGAAAATTCAGCTTTGATCACAGAAATAAATTACATTTTACTATATAATATAAATATATTTTATATAGTTAAAATTATATTCATATAGAAAACAGCTCTTTTAAGTTGTAATAACATTTCACAATATGACTGTTTATACAGTATTTTTGATTAAATAAATGCAGTCTTGGTGAGCAGAAGAGGCTTCTTTTAAAAACACTAAAAAATCTTACCGACCCCAAACCTTTGAACAATAATGTATACTATAATCTAAAAGTATGTACTGGATATGGGACACTCTATGTAGTAATAATGTGTACGTTTTTTTTTTGCATATATGATTTTTTTTGTTCTGTTTTCAGTTATTTATCCTAAAACCACATGCTATTTAACACAGTTAAAAAAAGGTCTTATATTTCAAATTTGGTACTTTAAAAATCACTATAAATTAAAAAAAAATTAGCAAAAATAACTTACCTAACCCTAACCCTAACCCTAACAGTAGGAAGAGTGACAGATTTTAGTCTTATTTCTAAGTTTAAGTCCAGATTTTTGGTTTAGATTTTTATTACCTTTTCAGCAATGCATTTTTTAACCCTGAACCATTTTTTTGGAGTCCCCTACATGTGTAAAATGTGAGGTCACTGTACACGAGCGTGTGTTTGCAGCAGATAAGGCACTGGAGACGGTCATGTAGACCACACCTAATTCCTTGCCAGTGGCTTGCTTAATTCTCCACACCTATACAGCGTACCACTGTACGCCAAGAGAACAAACCAAAAGATGCTGGTTTTGACCCTTACGCTTCAAAAAGGAAAAATAAAGCATAAATAAAGAATGAATGTCCACCGATATCTAAACCTCCTCATAGACTAGTTATTAAAATTGTATGATTCAATAGCCAGGCTGCCAGAATTGATAGGCTTTCTTGGAAATGACATCCTAGCATCACGAAAAAGGTCATTTAGAAACAAAACAAGCATTATCATTTAATAGAGTAATGCAGTCCTGTTGATACCTCATTGTGGATTATAAAGACTTCAATGAATAATCTCGCAAAAAAGCAAGTAATAGTTAGCGTACCAGCTAATAAAACCTCATATAATGTTATAAAAATAATAAAATAAATAAAACATGTCAGCACCCAGCCCCAGCTTTCCTCCGCTCTCGAAGAGCAGAAGTACTGCAGCAGACAGGATGACATCATCACTGAGACGCAACACTGCAGTGTGTGTGTTTATGACTGCATCCGAGAGAGAGAGAGAGAGAGAGAGACGGAGCGAGTCTTTAAACTCACCTCTACTGAGAAACACACACACACACATACACACACACACACACACACACAGATAAAGGCAAACACACAGAGAGAATGCCGTCCATCACTATAACTGTGCTTGCATAGCATACGAGAGCAGGTGGTGATGTGTGTTTCCCACAGAGGGAAAATGAATGAGACTATACGTCACAACAGCATCAAATTCAGCTCATACACGTACATTCATGTACACCATATGTACACTGTAAAAAATGACAGTGAATTTAACGGTAAAAGACTGTAAAAATGCTACAGTAAAAACCTGTTAAATGGTTAACGGTAAATTCCCCTACTATATACGGTGAAAAACTGTATTGGACATTATATGTATTGGACATTAATTTTACGGTAGTATACCGTATTTGGAAGTGAGATTCATGTCATATTACTTTTAAAACCAGTTTAAGTTTCATGTTACGATATGAAGCATTTTTTTAAGCGACTTAAGGACATTTTGCAACAATATAGTTTCTCCTCTTTCTCAGCTATGTAAACATGTTGAAAAATATGACTCTATTTCAAACCAGTTAAATTTCATGTTACAACATGAACTTGCTAGAATATTTTGCAACAATGCAATTTCATCTCTCTGTTTAAAAAATTAGAAAAAAAATATGAATAGTTTGAGGCAAATACATTTTAAAATACAGCTGGCTGGATGGGTGCCACACATTTATAAGTGTAGTCACATTTTGATATCACTTGTGACTATTTTAATGTGTCCTTGTTACACATGCGACTCATTTACTGTAGTAATAACAGTACATTATGCATAATTTTAAGCAACTAACACTCAAAACAAACACTAACTCTATAGTAAAAATATGGTGTTAATTCATGTTACTCATAACTTCTTTGTGTAATTGCAGTGAAACAAGGAACACATTAAAATAGCGGTTACACTTTATTTTACAGCGTCCTTGTTTAAGTACTGAGAAATATGAATTAATAACATGTATTTACTATATGGTTAGGATGAGGGTTTGGTTTAGGGTTAGTTGTATGTAATCATGCATAATTTATTGTTATTACTATAGTACATGTAACGTGTAACAAGAACACTACAAAATAAAATGTTACCACAATAGCATTAAGAATATATGGTTACACTTTATTTTAAGTTGTCCTTTTTACAGTGTAATTATACATTTAAGTACTGAGTAATATTAATTAATTACATGTACTTACTGTATGGTTAGGGTTTGGCTTAGGGTTACTTGCATGTAATTATGCATAATTAATTGTTATTATAATAGTAAGTACATGTAACAAGGACACCTTAAAATAAAGTGTTACCGGAATCTTCAGGAAAGTTGTACTTACTCCACAAATGACGGTCTTGGTTGGCATCCCGGTATACCTTCTCTTTTTCTCTCTCTCTCTCTACGTCTTTTGCCTCACTGCTTTCCAGTGTTACACTATCTGGGTGTAGGGGTCCGGGCACTGCCCCTTTCCCCCTGCACGCACACACACACACACACACACTTGTGAGGGGCTGGGTGGGGCTGGGGGCTTTGAGGCCAGAGGGGTTTATCTCCAGAGGAATGCTGTCAATATCGACACACACACACTTCTACCCAAAACTAGATAATGGCATAAGTCGCTCTCTCCCCACTTTTCCATTCCGTCGAGCGTTTTCGATCTGCGCAGACCTGCTCGATGCATTCTGACAAGCAAAGGGTCTTTCTGAATGAGACTTTGGGA